CTTTGACCCTGAAAAAGTCCATGGGAATTTATCCTGAGCCTTAATTCATTGCTTCCTATTTGGAAGGATCCAGCAAGATCAAAGTGAGTTTCAGCTATGGTCACCCGTAGAGCTCCACGATTCTTCACCAAGTCAGTTCTAGCACAGAATCAAACATGCTTCTTGGACTCTGATCCAAAATATGATAAATGCAATTGCCTTTGATAAGCACAGCTTAGCAGTGTATTTAAGAATGTAGGAATATCAGGAGTAGGGCAGACCTTTATAAAATTAAGATAAAATTAATATCTACTAAGGGCCTATCAGATAGAGTCGGGTTTCCGTGTACGTAACCACTAATGACAGGCAATTAGAAAAAAACATTCTAGTTAGTTAAAAACACTACTGGGGCCACAACTAAAAAAAAATTCTAGGGGCAAAGCTCATTTTCACTTTGGCTTTATTTTTATTTTAATTCCGTTCAAGACACTACCGAGAAAACCCCATATATGAGAAACAGTGAGAAGCAAATTCTTTTGTGCCCTAGAAAGTTCCTGATAGGAGACATAAAAAAAGATTATTGGAAACCTTCAGCATTTTCTACTGTATGTCTCATAGGTGAGAATGTTTGCACATTCCACCAACCCACATGGCCCTGCTGCTGATTTCCCAAGCATGAGCTTTTCTCTGCAGTCTCCCTTACCTTGCTTTCTCCTGACTTCCAGTCCATGGGGAGAAAACAATCAGACAATTGCTCTCGTGAAAACTTCATGGTTCCTACTGAAGAATTCCCCCTAACCCCACATGCCTTAGCCACAGGAGAACACAGAGGGTCTGGAATCCTATGCAAAGCACAGGCCCACTTCATAAGAACACCTGACTGACAAGAATAGGAAAATGTATTTCACGAAAACAGCAACATTGCTCTCTCAGAGTACAGACCCAGAGTTTGGAGAGACCTAATTAAAACTAGATGTGTGTGCATATATGTGTGTATGTGCATGTGAGCGTGTGTCCGTTTGTCTGTCTGCCTAATAACAAACAATTTTTTAAGTAAGCATTCTGAATTTAAAATGAAAAGAAAGAAAATACCTGCTGTATTTCAATTTATTAAACCAAGCAATAGTTGGGACCTAGAAAAGGGCCTGTCACATAGCAAGCCCTCAAGAAAGGTTTGTGACTGACCGTTAACAAAACAACGTCCTCTTTTAATGCCTTTTCTACCTTATTCAGCAGTCTTTCTTATTTTTATTATTTCCTTTCCAGCATTATAACTGTTAATACTTCACTCTGCCATGTAGAACAAGATATATAATCAGGTCATTTTCCAAGAAACTGATATTTTTAAGGGCACCATTATTTGGGGAGAAAATTTCAGAGCAGTTTACTCATTTATTCACTGATTCGGCCAACATTTAACCAAGAGGTTCTCATGGACAAACACTACATTCAAAAAGTTATGCTCTCGAGGAGTTATGACAAATGTACCTGCTCCTAAAAAGGCCACGATGGGACAGACAGACACTTAGAGAATTATGATACTATGAGATAGAGGAATACAAATCATTTCTCAGGATCTCAGTGGAGCCAAAGACTAACTCTGCCTGAGTGGAGTGGGGAAGCAGGTCATCTTTGATCTGAGATAATTCCAGGACAAAAATAAGGGATGTCATTTCACATGGATTAATAAAGGCATTAAAAAAAAGAAGAAGAAGAAGAAGAAAGAAACACAGGGTGCTCTCCCTCACCTTAGAAGGGTTGTTTGACTGATGTGAAGAACCACACCAGGGAGAAAGGAAATGGATATGATAAGATAGGGAGCTTAGAAAAACAGATGGAGCCAAATTTTGAAGGCCCAAGGAGTTTGGACTTTTATCCTATGCAACAAGCAGTCACTGAAGATTGAGTTCTTGGAACAAAAGACAATTAGAAAGGTGCCTAACACTGTGCCTGGTGAAGTGGAACTGAACTTATAAATTAAGGGTCATTATGTGACCTATTTTTGTTGTTGTTGTTGTTGTATGAGAGCAGTATGAAGACAAATGGACAGTAGAGAAAAGGGAGATTGGTCCCTGGGCCAATAATATTACATATCTGAGCAATTTCAAACTAGAACCAATGCAAGCGACATAAATACAGTTATTAAAGTAAAATGTCTCCCTATTTTAAACAATGACAATTCAGGCTTTAATATCACATGTATTCTGAATCTAAGCCTACATTCTTTATTCCATTATGAGTTTACAGAACAATAAAATGCAATAGAATTTGGCAAAATTAGCACAATGAAATTATAATACATGGCATCGCTTGCTTTTTGTAATAATTAACAAACCAGACCAGCTGACACTTACGGAAAACTTATAGTCACAGAAAACTGAGTGATTTCTGGCAGGCACAAGATAAATTGTTGTTTAGCCAAGAAAAAAATGCACATCGCCTACTCACCATTCCAAGTCTCTTCACACTACTTATCTTGCTTTCTTCTTTCCTTTTTTTTTTTTTTTAATTTGGTCTGATAGGTTTTGAAAAAAATAAGTACTTCTCTAGCTTCCTTTGATTTAACTAGGGTTTTTAAAGGGTTGGGAAACACTTAGGAACTAATTAAAGCTTTGTGTACCCAGCAGGTGTGCAGTCTCTCCAGAAAAGTATTTTGGCAACTTGGAGGCATTTGTGGTGAGGCCACGGAATCCTTCTGGTAGATATCTTTGAAGAGAAGAGAAAGAGCTGAGAGTTCCATTAGTTACAAATCAAAGCCATTTTGTAAGCAGAAAATGATTAACCTTTGTTCTTGGCTTTCTCTCTCACTTTTTAATACTTTTCATATTTTGTTTAAATAATCTTGCCCCTGTTACCATGAATTTCTACCATGTACTATGAAATCTGTGGTTTTCTTGTCCAATGGAGGGATTACCTGAAAAAGAAAAGAACAAAGTGCTCTTCTTTGCAAGGAAAGAGCTGCTGCTGACTCGCTGGTCATTAAGTGACAATCTTTGAGTATTTTTTCAGAGGTTGAGGGGTGGCCACAATCACATCTCTGCTTAGTGAACCCTCATTGATGACTTAGGTAGTCTGGGTGGAGCCAGCCACAGAAGCGATTTCCAGCTTTGGAATTCTGTTCTCGGTGAGAAGCTAAGTGGTGCTGACCTCAGTAGCCTATTCCGATGAGCACAGAGCCAACTGGCTCAGCCACGTAAAGGGTACATCAAAAGTGTCTCTTCTCCCCCCATATGTAGCACTGAATCAGGCAACTATTGATGAAGTTTTCCAAAAGAGAGCAGAAATAATTGTCAGATAATCCTTAAACATGTGTGTATTTTTAAATATATCATTTGCCTTGAGCTCAATAGCTGCCTTCAGAAACTGAAAGCAGAATGGAAGATTTTATCCACAATCTATCTCTTGGCAGTCAAACCATGGACACACAGGAAATACAACAAATACAGCAAAATTCAGTACTTGAGCTATTTGGTCCAGATGACTTCCTACAAAAGCAGATCTCAGCCGAAGCAAGGAAAAAGAGCTCTGTTTAGAGGCATTTGGAAATCTTTGGGCCACAGTGAGGAATAGTGTGGTTCAATTACACTATAATATAAGAAAAAGCTAGACTGACACTCACAGTCTTGTAGTCAAACTAATATTTCATTATGTTTTAAAATATTAAGAACGTTCCCTTCATCTACATTCACTCTGAGTGGGGTTGGGAGTGGAAGAAATAATACAAGAGGCAAAAGTTTGACTTTTGATGAGGGAAATATTTTTTCAAGCTTCTTCAGAGAACTCTTTATCACCTCCTGTTCCAATGCTTTATAATAACTATAATTAAACATATTATGTCATACTGTGGCAGCCCTTTTCATTATAAGGTCTCAAAGCAAAGCAGTGCTTAATTAAGGGTCCAGTCACAGTTAGGTCCAGGGAGGTGACTGCTGGACACAAGCAAGAACAAAGCAAATCTGCCCAATAATTTAGAATATGAAGGTAAGTTTTATGTATTCCCTTGAAAACAGGATTACCACCGCTGACCTGAGCTCCTGCTGACAGGGCAGGGTAGGCAAGTGTTGGAACCTGTGGTAAAAAGGACTCAGGAAGGGAGGTGACCTTCCAGCTTCTCCTTCAATGAGAACCCTCTCTCTGCTCCAGGGGCTGGGCATGGCTGTCAGGGTATGATGTCAGATCTACTGGGCAGTGGGAAATCTGTGGCTAGGAACACAGGATGGGCCAGTAGAGAATGGTGCCAAGGTGTAGCTGTGGAGGCCTCTGCCTGGGAAAATCTCTGGAAAACACATGCAGCTCAGACTTGCAAAGTTGTTGCTCTTCTGCCCTTCCTGCTCACCTCCCCCTCTATTATCTCCATTCAGTATTCATTCCTTTACCGAGGCCCTGTTGTATGCCAGGAATTCAGCTATAGGCTGGGGGCCAGACAATGAAAACAATCATTTTCAGGAACCCTGAAGTTGTTTCTGCGAAGCAAAGTTCTAAGGACAATGAACTGAGTGTTGCTCCCTGAGGCATAGAGGCTGTGTTAAGGGAGATGAGATATATGGGGCCCAGAGATAAGAAACTCGAGTAATATTACTGACATCGGAGTAGCGTAGAGACAGCCCTTCTCCCATCCACATTCTCTCTTCCCATCCTCTACGCCAGTGGCCAGACACTGCTGGGAACCAGGTGTCAGCTCAATCTAGAGCTGTCTAAAGATAAAATGAGCTGCATTGTGGGGTGGTGAACTCTTGACCACCAGAGTTGTTGGAGGAGAGGCTGGATAGCTACTTGATGGAATTAATCAGATCTCTTCCATATCTAGTGGTTTGTGAATCCACAGGGAGCTGGTCTGCTGGAGGAGCCAGTTCTGGGTGGACTTTCCTGCTTTACTCTGGCCTGTCATAAGGATGATGACGAGGCCTGATCACGAAAAGGTAGTGGGGAAAAGCCTGGTGATGAGGAAGTTCGAGACTAGGGGTAGGAATGGAAAGGGAGGAGGTGTACAGGGCTGCCATAACAAAGTATCATAAACTGGATAGCTTTAAACAACAGAAATTTAATGTTTCACAGTTCTGGAGGCTAGAAGTCCAAAATGAATGTATCGACAGGGTTGGTTCCGAGAGTTCTAAAGGAGAATTTGTTTCATGTCTCTTCCAGCTTTGGGTAGCCCCCAAACATTTCTTGGCTTGTAGATGCACCACTTCAATCCTCTGTCATCACATGGCATCCTCCTCGTCTATCTTCACATGGCCATCTTCTGATAGGGACACTAGTCATATTTGATTAGGAGCCCATCCTACTCCAGTATGAACTTATATTAATTTAACTAATTAGATCTGCAATGGCCCTATTTCCAAATAAGGTTACATTCTGAGGTAACAGAAGTTAGAACTTCAACATAGCTCCATTTTAGGGGGACATAATTCGACCCACAACAGGAAGCAATTTGCTTAATTTCTGAAACCTCCTTTTTTCCCACCTGTATAACTCCAGCATAGGCACTGCATGGAGAGAGGCTGGGTGGCTATAGGGGACACCACTACCTCTGCTGGCCCTAGATTAATTTAAAAAGGCCCTAGATTAATTTAAATACAGCATAGTTCTGATATTGTTCCTAGGGCTTCACACTTCTGCCTTTCCCTGTGCTCCTTAGAAACACTTCTCATGACACCACAGCACTCCCAACCCCGATACCCACATATCCTGACACCCTAGAGCCTTGAGCTCTTAAAGGCCTCCCTGGTATCTTTTATTCACCCCCAGACACAGACAGAATAACTTGGGGAATGTGTGTGTGAGGGTTTTTTTTTTTTCTCCTTTGGGACTCTCAAAGACCTAGACAGCTCCCAAGGCTTCTGGCCTATTTCACCCAGTGTTGCACAGATGGTTACTTTAAATAAATTCCCAGGATGGCAGTAGGGGTGGGGAAAGATTATGAATCACAATTCTAGGTACTTCTGCCAGCAATACCTTCCATGGAATTACCAACACAGAGGGAGAATCTGATAAAATGCAGAAACATCAGACTAAAAGAAAAAAATCTCAAATTCTACGACCACGCGCTACAAATAGGCTGTGTGACAGTTGTGGTCGGGTCATTTCCCCTCTGTCCTTCAATTTCTCCAATGGTAAAAAGTTAAGACTATTTCAATGCTGATATTCTATGATTTCATAAAAGCCAATCGTCTATGATGTTATAATAGATCTCTAAGGATCTATGCTGACATTCCATGATTTTATAATAGTTGAACTTTATGCAGGTTAAATGGAAGAAGAGACATATATAATTTCTCTGAAAGTCGGCTAATATCTTTGAGGAATGATGTCACTTTTGAGCCTCAGTTTTCTGATCTATATAATATAGAAATGACTATATGGACTTCATAAGGTGGGGAGGGCAGGGTACCTGGAGAGATGTACACCTTTGTACAGAAGAAAGCAGGAACGTCTCCGAAGTTTTTCTGCAACAGCTCCAGCGATCACGGCTCGGGATCCTGGGCAGGTGCGAGCCCACCAAGAGGACAGGAAGAGGGC